ATTAGAATTCTAATCTTAAATGTATGTCAGCATTGTAGGCTTAAGTAGTAATGAATAATGTACATTTATAGATATACAATATGCTCTATTATCCAGCAATGTAGAGACTAAGATTCATTTTCCAGATGTTTAACCCTGTGATTAACTTTTATTTCCTATAAAACTCTTGAATTAAAATCACCTTCCTAGCCTTACTCAATAGAAACATTAGTTACATCTTTTTCATTGGTGAAATTAGCATGTGGGCATTGATTTCTTCCATCACTGTCATGCCAGTTGAATCTGGAAACTTTTTCTCTTGAGGTAACGCTTACACAAACTTGTTTTTAAACATTTGCCTCTTGCTCATTAAGAAAGAATAACTTTTTTTTTTTAATGTCATTGTTCATTTCCCAAGGCTGTGGGTAACATGGCTTCATTCATAAAAAATAATACTGAATCAGGAGCCAAAGCAGCTTCTCCCAATGAGGCTTTCCTCTTCTTTTAAAAAGGAAGAGGGAGGGGAGTTAATCCACAGCCGTTAGGCTCTTCAATGTGTCTGCGTCTCTCCAAACCCTGTCTGATTTTATACTGTACCAAAACTGCTATAGAGCCACCCAACCATACCGTAACTCCTCTTTCTCTATACAAAGCTGGTTAAATTCCAAGGATCATCTTGGGGTAGAGCATTTATCCAACATGCATGAAGCCTGGGTTCTAACCCCAGCCTTATAAAGAGTAATAATCATGACAACAGAGGAAATTTTCAAGAGCTAATGACTATTTGGAGCTGTGTTAGTCAGTGTTCTATTGCTGTGAACAGACGCCATGACCACAGCAACTCTTAACAAAGAAAGCGTTTAATTGGGGGCTGGCTTACAGTTCAGATGTTTAGTCCATCTTGGCAGGAAGCATGGTGGCATGCAGGCAGACATGCTGGACAGATAGCTGAGAGTTCTACATCTGGATCTGCTGGCTGCAGGAAGAGAGACACTGGGACGTGGCTTGGACTTTTGAGCCCTCAAAGCCTGCCCCCAGTAACACACTTCCTCCATCAAGGTCATACCTCCTAATCCTCTTAAATAATGCCACTCTGTTGATTTGACATTTAAATATATGAGCCGTGGGGGGCATTCTTATTCAAACCACCCCAAAAGCCATGTTAGTTTTATTGAGAACAGTATGATTGAGTTTTTATATTTTTAAGAATTTGGAGCCAGGCATAATAACACACAACTTTAATTCTATCATTTAGTAGGCAGAGGCAGGCAGATCTCTTAGAGTTCAAGACTAACCTGATCTGCAAAGTGAGTTCCAGACCAGCCAAAGCTATATAGTCAAACTGTGCTCAAAAATAAATAATTTTTAATGAATTTGGGGTGCTAGGGATATACCTCATTAAAAGAACGTATGTGAAACCTAGGTTTGATCCCAAGCACCACAAGTCTAAAGAGACTTGTGAACGATATTAGAAAAATCCCTCCCAGGTCTTTAAGCGGGAAAATACAAGAGGGTTTTTTTGTTGTTATTGTTTTAACATGGTACATTGATTGTTTGGTTTGACTGTTTAAGACAGGTTCTTATGCAGCACTGGCTGACTTCAAATTCACTGTGTACCCAAAGATAAGCTTCAAGTCCTGATCCTCCTGCCCCTCCATTTGCGTCACCATGTACAGGTCAACGATGGATTGTTATCCTTTCTATACAGGACATTCTGAGTATCTTTTACAACATGATCTGGACATCTCAACTCTCTTTTTCCAATATGATCTTACTGCAGCAAAGGGCTTTTCTAGTAATTGTTAAGAGGTTGCCTATGCTATGGAGTAAATATTAAAAATCTGCTGAGTAATTTTGGAGAGTCACTTGTTAGCTCAGTAAAAGTGAAAGTAAAATACTTGCTATCTTGTGAAAGAAGAAAATTTGATTTGGATATCTCTTAAAAGTTTAACTTACTTATTTTGAAAATATTTTAAACTTTTATTTGTGTATATGTGTGAGAGAGAGACACAGATGCAAGAAGAGGGTGTCAGATGCTCTGGAGCCAGAAGTGAGGGCATCAGATGCCCTGGAGCCAGAGGTGAGGCAGTTGTGAGCCACCTGATGAGCTTGCTGTCCAATTCTTGTCATCTGGAAGAGTAGCAAGTGCCCTTAACCACTGAACTATCTCTCCAGCTCCCAAATCTCAACTAGTTTATAAATACTGTTTTTTGAGATAACTTGCAACCCTGGAGTTTAACAAAATTTTCATAATTATATCTCAATATAACATAAAGATTCTTTTACTTCAAATACTACAGTTCAAAAATCCATCCCCTCATCATATGGACACGTGCAGTACACTACACTAGGTGAATAGACATGGAGCGGGCAGGCCTGACTCCAGCATGTTAGGCCTCCCTCTTTCCCCTTCAGGGTAGCATCAGGTCACAGATGACAGTAAGTTAGGAAGGCTTTGTCAGCCATATAATCAATTTCATACATTTTAACTTTTAGAAAAACAGACAATGCAAGGTAAATTTTCTTTCTTTTTTGAAAACTGTTAACAATTGCATGATACTCTGGTCCACACTTTGATATAACAGATGGTAGAACTTTCTGACCTGGAACAAAGCCCTAAGTCCAGCCCTCAGCACACATGGGTGGGGATGGGAGTTGAGCTCCTCAGAACTGTCATCTAATCTTTGTTTAATTTGCTTTATCCTTCTTTCAGTGATCTTTCCAGACATCGATCTTTGACCCTGGCATTGTCTGTATTGTGTGTCAGGAGACGTCTGTCCTTCTGTCTGTTCCCCAGAGCCCCCTCTCCTGATTGCGTGTCTTCCTGGTTTAGACTTCACATCCCACTTTTACAAAACATCATATCCATAATTGAAGTAAAATTGTTGGTAAATAGAAAGTTTTATTTTCTCCTCTCTTTGATGCTTTGGCTCATTTTCCTTCAGAGTAAGAAACTCACCTTTATTTCCCAGTGGTGTTGAGAAGCTGTTTATCTGTGGTCTTTTGTAAAGCATCCTTCTCAGGGTTACTGCGGTTTCCTCTATCTGATATGCTTAGGGCCAGAAGGATTTTTAAATGTTGTTTATTTTCCCAGATTTTGGAATTTTTACATATATGTAATGAGATCTTGTGGAAGAGCCCAAGTCTAAAACCATTCATTCAGGATATATATATATATCCTGAATATATATATATACATATTATTCACATAGGATATATATATATACATATATATATATTATTCACATCGCCTGATAGTAATTTTACACGCATTTTTAATTTCCCTGTGTTTTGCCTGCAGCCCACCACGTGGTCGGGTGTAGAACCTTCCACTGGTGACAACATGCTGACACTTGAAAAGTTTGATATTTTTGGAGCATTCAGATTTTACATTAAGGAGTCCTCAAACTATCTTCATTACTTCTAGGAGTCTAAGTATTTAGAATGATGTACTATTTAGTAGACTTGTTGACTATGGAAACTCTTCCCTCTGTTCTGAGGGGGGAAATACTATTGAAGATAAAGACAGTACTCGGTGATAGTATTGCTGGGAAAGTTAGGTACAATTAGGATTTTATTTTGAAATGTATTAGTCTCTAACCATACCACTTGATTGTTGAGGTTTTTAATATTCTGAAATTAAGAAACATAATTATAATTAGCATGTTGTGTGACTGACTTTTTGATGCAAAATCCAGCTTTCATGTGAAAATATTCGGAAAAATAGGACCCTGCCTCTCAATTCCTGGCTTAACTTTTGCTTTACTTACAAACACTTAGGTAGGCTGGAGAGATGCCCAGAAGTTAAGAGGATTTATTGGTTTTGCAGCGGACCTACATTTGGTTCCCAGCACCCACACCAGCAGGCTCACAACCACCTATGACTGCAGTTTCAGGAGACCCGATACTCTCCAGCTTCCTCGGGCACCTGCATGCTCATGGCACACACAGGCACACAATTCAAAATGACTAAAAACATGTTTTAGAAATACTTACATAAATTCATTATGAATCCTAGTATGTGTAGCCAATGAAATTTACCTGCTTGTTTTCAAATGATCAAGAATGTTAGAGTAGATCTGGAGAGATGGCTAAGCGGTAAGAGCACTGGCTGCTCTTCCATAGGTCCTGAGTTCAATTCCCAGCAACCACATGGTGGCTCACAACCATCTGTAATGAGATCTGGTGCCCTCTTCTGGCCTGCAGGCATACATGCAGGCAGAACACTGTGTACATAATAAATGAATAAATCTTTTTTTAAAAAAGAATGTATGAAGAGAATACTTCTAAAAACTGCAAAGACTGATAATGATGTAACTACTTACTGGAATTAATAGACAAAACTCTTAGAAGTATTCACTTGGCATTCCTATTGTTCAGTGGTAATTGTTTACTTAATAGATTCTAAAAACTTTCAACTTGAAATTGTTGATATTTTAATCAGTAGAATGGAAACAAGACAAGAAACAATACAGGTTATTAGTTCTAACTACTAGCTCAAAGATTTGTAACTATTTCTTCTCACACAGAATTTATGAGAAATAAATTGTGTTGTGAAATAAGAAAAACTGAAAGTCAGATGTGATGACACATGACTTTAATTCTAGCATAGAATTGTGGGAAGAGGGAATGCTGCAAAGTTAAGGCCAGCCTGGGCCGTACAGAGGTTTCCAGGTTGGCCACTGCTACATTGCAAGACTTTGTCTCAGGAACCCAATGAGAGAAAAATAAGGGACGGATAAATAAGCATAAGGGATTCTGCAAAACTAGGAACTTCCTAACCAAGCATGTATTACGGCTGAGAGAGGACCATACTGAAATTCCGCTATGAGAAAGGAATCCATTATTTTGCCTTCTTGGTATGAGGAAATATTATCCCAGTGTGATGGAGCAATACATTAACGTGGGCACAGGGCACCTGGGGCTGCCTGGCAGCATGCAACGCTCCTTCATACTGACTACTTTCACCTTGTGTCCAATAGGTGAACAGGTTGCTAATGACTTCCTTCTTTCTTTCTTAGATTCATCCAGAAAGCGTCCAGAAGAATCCTCCTGTCAGAAAAGCTAAGAAGGCAGTATTTATAACACTGGGAGTTTTAAATAATTTGTTTAAAATGGCTGAAAACAATAGTAAAAATGTAGATGTCCGGCCTAAAACAGGCCGGAGTAGAAGTGCTGACCGAAAAGATGGTTATGTGTGGAGTGGAAGGAAGCTGTCCTGGTCCGGAAAGACAGAGAGCTGTTCTGAGTGGGAGACCGTAGATCCTGAAGAGAAAGCCAGAGCTCCTCGAAGGAGCCATGAAAGGGACAGCTGCTCGCCCATTGACTTGGACTTAGACAATTCCTGTGGACATAGATTTTTAGGCCGGTCCCTTAAACAGAAGCTGCAGGATGCTGTGGGGCAGTGTTTTCCAATAAGGAACTGTAGTGGTCGGCACTCTGCAGGGCTTCCGTCCAAAAGGAAAATTCATATCGGTGAGCTCATGCTAGACAAATGCCCATTCTCACCTCCATCAGATTTAGCCTTTAGGTGGCATTTCATTAAACGACACACTGGTCCTGTAAGTCCAAAATCAGATGAATGGCTGAGCACAGACTTACCTGGGAGTAAACTGAGGGATGCTCAGCTGAAACGAAGAAACACGGAAGAAGACATACCCTGTTTCTCACATACCAGTGTTCAGCCTTGTGTCATCACTACCAACAGTGCTTCGTGTAGAAGTGGTCACATAACTGGCTCTCTGGTGAACTTGGTCACAAATGACAGCATAGAAGATAGTGATATGGATTCAGAAGATGAAATTATAACACTGTGCACAAGCTCCAGAAAAAGAAACAAGCCCAGGTGGGAAATGGATGATGAAATCCTGCAGTTGGAGGCGCCTCCCAAGCACCACACCCAGCTGGATTACGTTCACTGCCTTGTACCAGACCTCCTTCAGATCAGTAACAATCCGTGCTACTGGGGCGTTATGGACAAATACGCAGCCGAAGCTCTGCTGGAAGGCAAGCCAGAGGGCACCTTTTTACTGCGAGACTCGGCACAGGAAGATTACTTATTCTCCGTTAGCTTTAGGCGCTACAGTCGTTCTCTTCATGCTAGGATTGAGCAGTGGAATCACAACTTTAGCTTTGACGCCCACGACCCGTGTGTCTTCCATTCCCCTGACATTACCGGGCTGCTAGAGCACTATAAGGACCCAAGTGCCTGTATGTTCTTTGAACCACTTTTGTCCACTCCGCTAATCCGGACTTTCCCCTTTTCCTTGCAGCATATCTGCAGAACAGTTATTTGTAATTGTACAACTTACGATGGCATCGAAGCCCTTCCAATTCCTTCTCCTATGAAACTGTATCTGAAGGAATACCATTACAAGTCCAAAGTTAGGTTACTCAGGATTGGTGTGCCCGAGCAGCAGTGACGGGAAAGGCTAGGAGTGTGGACTTGCAGGTGGATTTTCATTTACTCTTATTTTTCTTATGCCTCTTTGAATTTTTCTACAAAGGCAGTTAGAATCCAAAATAAAACTGCCCTAAATTTTAATTCCAGATTAGTTTATTTTCTTATGATACACTTGTTATATATTTTTAAGCTGTTGTTTTTTGTTTTTTTATTTACTGTGTAAATTGTATATTTTTCCCCTTAATTTACATATGGTCCGGGCATATTGAAATTTCAAGGCATTGCAAATGCATTTGAATATTGTGATTTTTTTTAAAAAATAATCTTCTGCTCTTCCCTGCATGTGAAATGCTTTACTAATCTATGCTATCAGTATTCTTGTATGGCAAAATAGTTAGTTTCCCACTTTGATTTTAGAATTCTTCAGTAAAGATGAGTGTTGTAGTCCGTCCATGATAATGTGATGGCAAATAGGAGTGGTAGGCAACAAAATGGTTTAAAATGAAACTTAATGTGTTTTCTTTTTAAATACTACCTAAAGCAGGTTGTTTGTTTGTTTTTTAATTTGGCCATTGAAAAGAGAGAGCCAATGAAAAGAGAAAATGTTCTGTTCTAGAAGTGAATTTGTTCTGCAGTGCAGCAGCCACTCAGCCTGGAAGAGGTGACTAATATATTGTAACTTGTGTTCCTTTCTTACGGGAAGCTTTACAAATAGAACAGCATTATTAGAAACCTGGAGTTGCTACGGCAGCTAGAGTTTTCTATGTTAATTTGTGGACTGGGCATCTACTTAGCTCTTTCCTAGGAACTCTAGTTCCTAAGGGAAATCCATCGTTCTAAACAGCTCCCGTATCCACCAGTAACAAAGAGACCTGAATAGTTTCTCATTATTTGAAACTGAACTTAAATACAAATGCAAGCAAAAAACATGGTTCAATATATAGCAAGTTTAATATTCATTTTGGTCTTCACAACCTAAATATTGATTTCTGTCTTCAGACCTAACATGTATTTTACGTGGCTTCAAAATGGAGAAGACATGGCAATAGATTCATGACATAACGTACTGGACAGGAGGGCAAAATAATATTTCACGTTTACTATCATAAGGGCAGCACAGCATTTTAGGACCATCACTGGCCTGAAGTAACCAGTAAGAAAGACAAGCAGTCTGTGCCCTGATTATCTACTCAGTGACAGACCTACCCAGATTGCCCAGAGGTCCTTATCTGCTCCTTTGAAATACTGTAGTCATTTTTATTTAGTGTGTGTGTGTGTGTGTGTGAGAGAGTGACAGCATCTCTCTATCAGCCTAGGCTGACCTCCGATAGGGGATCGTACAGCCTGAGTTTCAGGATTACAGGTTTCTTTTTCTTGCTTTCCTTTTCCTTTTTTCCTTTTTTTTTTCCTTGCTTTTTTATTTGTTTTGGTTTTTATTGTTGTGTAGATTATATTTTATTTTTGTTTGTTTCTTTGTTTGTTCGAAATAGAACTTCTCTGTGTAGCTCTGGCTGACGTGTAGCTTCTTGCATAGACCAGGCTGCTCTTGAACTCACAGAGATCCTCCAGCCTCTGCCTCACAAGCACTGAGATTAAAGCTATGCATGACTTCGCCTGGCTAGTAATTGATTTTTTTGATGCTAGTTCTGCTGGATTAGAAAACTTCAACTTGTATTGAAAGAACATTGACTCCTAAGTTTCCAAGTCAGAACAAATGTTTCTTGCTGGTACAGTGGTGCACACCTCTAACCCCAGGACTTGAGAACCAGAGGGATGAATATTGCTGCAAATGTAAGCCAGTTAGAGCTGTATGGTGAGAGTTTGTCTCAAAATTTTTTTTCCCTTAATTCTTGTTGTATAATATGTTAAAGAAACCTGTTCTGATCTTGAGGGACTGTTAATGTAAAGAAAACATTCTTCAGCAATAGTTTTTATTGGTCATGGTAATCCATCCCTGTATTCCCAGAACTTGGAAGACTGAGGCAGGAGGATTCCTATGTGTTCTGGAACAACCTAGGCTACAGAGTGAGACCCTGTTTCAATACCCATCCTCCCCCCCCCAAAAAAAAACCTAATAGCTTCAAATTTTTCAACATTACAAAATTAATGTGTGGAAAATCTGTTACCATTCCCTCCTAGAATTTTTTTACTTAGTTGTCTAAAGATGGTCTGGATCTGTGACAGGTAGCCACTCAAGACGTGCCTCTTCCAGATGTGGGGAGCCTCGGGCTGTGAACACTTGTGGGGTGACTGCATACCCTCTAAAGAAGATGTTGCCCTTCCTAGAAGTGAATTCTCCAACTACCTCACCTTTGCTGTGGCACTTTTGTAGTTGCTGAGATGATGCTCATCTTACTAACCAGTATAGCATTTCCTAAGTCTCCTTCTTTGGTGGCAAAATCTATAGTGTGGTGAGACTCGACTCACACTTACAGCTTCTTATCAGAATTTGGTAAAACCTGTTGCTGTGAAACAATTATTTTTAATATTTTTCTTTTAAAAGTAACTTTTATCAGTACAGAACTATCTAAGGGATGACTAGCTTATTCTGTTAAAAGGTAGTTTTATAAAGAAAAGTAAAATATAATCATGTCTTTTATAGTGGTAAAATTAGTGTTTATATGAAAGTCAAGATTTGATTATCTTTTAATATACTTCAGACTGATTGCTTATATTTTCTCTGACTTCTATTCTTTTCAATTTCAAGGTATTAACAGCTGTCAATATTTTCAAAATACTGCCATATGTGTAGCTTTGAAGTGTGTATTAATTGAGGACAGGAGAGACTCCTTTTCTCTGAAATGTTTTATGTTTCCTTTGGCACTAACTACAACGAAAAGAAACTGGACAGTAGAGACATGGAGGGATTTGAGAACTATCTCCTGTGAAGGAAAGAAGAGTAACAAGAAAAGTAGGGAGCTGGGGTCTAGAGAAATGACCGCTTTCCCATGTTTGTGAAGAACAGCAGAACTCAGAAACTGACTCATGACAAAGGTTAAAATGTATTTACTAACTTAAATAGCTAAAAATGAATAAATTTTATGAAGTACCCAAAGAAGTCTAAATTAAATGGAAATGTAACTCTTAACTTGAATTTTGAAACATTTGTATAGTGTCAGTTACAGCCGAAAAAGTGCCCAGTACAGGACTTGATGTGCACACCTTTGATCCCAGTACTCAGGAGACAGAGGCAGGCAGGTCTGAGAGTTGAATAACAGCCTGGTCGACATAGTGATTTCCAGGCCAGCCAGGCTACATAGTGAGACCACCTCAAAACAAAAACGAAAAAGAAAGGCAATCGGTATGGTGGAAATGTGTAGTTTATTTGTGAGAGAAGATGGAACTAAAAGAAACAGAATAAAATATTAAAATTAAATATGTAGGCATTACCTCAGGGAAACGCCTTGCCGGGAAAAGGGAACTACTTTCTTGCTAATAGCTGCTCTGGACCAGACGCCACTACCTTGGGAATCATCTTGCACAATCAGGAGGTGAACTTGATTTTTCCATCTCTCTTGAGGCTTTTCAAGACAGACCCTTCTGCTCGCTGTTAAAACTACATCTTGAGTCATGCTGTGATTCCTGCAATAATGCTGAATGCATTCTTCTTAGTTTCCTTGGGTGTTTTTCTATGAAGAGTTATATGTTTATATGTGATCTTTCTGATACATAACCATGTTATTGGCCTAAATAATTATATGGTGAGACTATTAATTTAAAGAGGACCAGCTAGGAATATTAGAGGAAGCTTTTAGTCAGCCTGTGGCTAGATTTATTGATTTGGTGAACAAGCCTGTATTCTTTGCTGACTTTCAGCTAATGGTGAACTGTGGTCAAAGAATGGCTTTCACTTAATGTTCTGACTTATTGTAAAGACGATAAAGAATGTTTTAGGGATTAGAAATCCTTTAAAATGTAGAACAAATGTGCAAGTAAGACTCATCATCTTTTTATAAGAAAAATACATAAGCCTTTATCATTTATTCATGAGCTAAAGCCATTAAGCTAAATCAAATTATCAACTTCCTGTCTCTGGAGTTTGGTCGTTTTATAGATCCATGTAGCAGAGCACTTCTTTCCTGTGAGACAGATGTTTTGAAATCTCTTACTCTCTTTCATTAAAAGTATTTGTCACTTTTAACTATAATCAGAATCCAGGAGACGAGCATATTTTTATTTTAGCAGGGCAAATTTCACAGACTATAGACAATCCTGAAAACAAAACAATGATTAAAATAGCTCACTTAGCCAGGTGTGGTGGTGCACACCTTCTTTAGTCCCAGCATTTGGGAGGCAGAAGCAGGTGGATCTCTGTGAGTGCCAGGCCGGGGCTACATAGTGAGACCCTGGCTCAACAGAAAAGAAAAAAGAAAAGAAAAGAAAGAAAGTAATAGTTATCCAAAGGAAAGGGCTTGTGACAAAACTCTGAGATAGTGTTTCTAGTTATAGTTGTGAAGGGATTATTCAATCCTAAGTCCTCTTTCGTCTTACTGTCCTGTGAAATGTAGGTAATGGCCCTGACCTTGGTTTCCTGAATGTCCATTCAGTAAGAGGTGTCCCTTGGAGCATAGTTGAAAATAATTGTAAGTAGCTATTCAGTACTAATCGAGAATGAGCAGTTCTCAAAATAGCACCTTTGTGGAGCATACAAAAATCACATTCACTGTAATAGGTCTTCTTGACTTGATCTGACAGTGGAGATAACAGAACAATTTGGGTCTATGGTTCAAACTCTACAATTAGATGATTGCTATTTCCTCCTGCCTTTCATAAGGTCTGTGTAAATGGATGTTCGCCTTATTTGATACATTTGCAGGAATAAATAAAGATAATTTTTGCCATGGCTATAAATCAAATCTAAGCTTTCAGACTTGAGAGCCACAGTGTAAAACTCGGATCAGTTTTGTATTAGCCAAGTATGAATTATATATACTTGAATATACAGAGCCTAATGATTTCATAAAGCCTTGTTGTCAGTCAGTCATGGTGTGTGACCCATACTAGCTCCACTTTCTAATCTTGACAAACATTTGTGTGTGAGTTTAAAATTTTGGATCTAAATAAATTTTTTGCTTAATTAAATCTTCATATATAAAATCCAAAAGTGGTGGTGGTGTTATTTTTGTTTTGTTTTCTTTTAAGATGTGTGTCGTGTGTTAAATTCAGGAGAGTACCTTGATACACTTAGGAGGATCAGAGCACAACTTTTTTTTTTTTTTTTTTTTAAGAGACGGGGTCTCACTATGTTGCCCAGGCTGGAGAGCAGTGGCTATTCACAGGCGCGATCCCACTACTGATCAGCACGGGAGTTTTGACCTGCTCCATTTCCGACCTGGGCCGGTTCACCCCTCCTTAGGCAACCTGGTGGTCCCCCGCTCCCGGGAGGTCACCATATTGATGCCGAACTTAGTGCGGACACCCGATCGGCATAGCGCACTATAGCCCAGAACTCCTGGACTCAGGCGGTCCTCCTGTCTCAGCCTCCCGAGTAGCTGGGACTACAGGCGTGCGCCACCGCGCCCGGCCAGAGCACAACTTTTTGAAGACGGGTTCTCTTGTGGTTTGACTTTGAGACCGGGGTCCCTCCTTGTTTTCATGCAGCCTCAGCACGGGAGTGCTGGAATTACAGCTGCTGGCCACAGCATCTAGGGTTTCACATGGGTTTAAGTGATCCAATTCAAGTGGTCAGGATTTTCTGGCAATCACCTTTACCTGCTAATCCAAAACCCTGGCCCCAGGCTTGTGGTTTTATTTTTCAGCTCTTTATTATTATTGGGACCTGGAAGGTGGGGGAAGAGGGGTGGAAGTCAAAGGATAATTTATGGAGTTCCTTATCTCTACCTTTACCTTCATTCCAGGGGTCAAACTCAGATTGTCAAGCTTGGACAGCAAGCACTTTAACCGACTGAGCCACATTTCTGGCCAGAGTTTTTGATTTGAAAAGCATTTCTACCTTTGAATGAAAACGAGGACATGATCATTCCGAGTTCCTGGTTGATGGAAGGGGTTTTATTGTAGATATGAGGGTGAGAACTTCCAGAGGCATCTGGAAGGGTCCAAACTTGAAGCAGACTTTCTTGAACTGCCAGCCCCCAAATCATGGCACAGAAACTTATTATGAAAGCTTGGCCTTAGCTTAGGCTTGTTTCTAACCAGCTCTTAGAACCTAACCCATTTCTGTTCATCTACATGCTGCCTCATAGCTCACGGCTTTCACCTCTCCTGCATATGCTGCTTCCCCCCACACACACCTAGATTCATCTTTTCTCTCTGCTCAGAAGTTCTGCCTATCCTCTCCCGCCTAGCTATTGTCCATTCAACTCCTTAGTAAACTAATCCAGAAGGCGCCTTGGCAAAGACACATTTCCACAGTGCATAAAAAGATTATTCCACAACATAAACTGAACCGGGCCATGGGGAATGGACTAAGAAGAACCGAGGACCAAGAGGCCAAGAGCAGGAGACCAAGAGAGCACTTAGTCAAGATGGCAGGAGTTACAGAGGTACCAGAAGCTGGGGGAAGGGAAGCCCAGCCACTAGGCTGGAGAGGTTTAGGATAGGAGGCAGGATGAGAAGTATTGGGAAGAACCACAGGTTCTGAGTGAGACTTGTCCCAGGTTTCATTGGGACCTGATATATATTCAAACCAAAAGAAGTCTGGAAAGGAAAAACTGAAAAAAATACAGATATACTTACATGTTGCTTTCTGGTATATTAGTTTTGAATCCACAAGAAACAGAAGCCAGTACCAAAACCACAGCTCTTCTCTTAAGACTGTGGCCCTCAGCCTTCCTAATGCTGCAACCCACTTCATGTTGTGGTGACCCCCAACCATAAAATTATTTTCATTGCTACTTCATAACTATAATTTTGCTGCTGTTAAGAATTGTAAATATCTAATATAGAACCCTATGAAAGGGCCATTTGCCCGCCCCCCCAAAGTGATTGCAACCCACAGGTTAAGAACCAGTGTTCTCAATTTAAGACTTAAAGGGAATAAGAGATAACTCATGCTGGAGCCATTTTTGAGTGATGATAGCCCCCAAACACAAATTTAGGTTACCTCAAATTCCATGTTCCAACTGGAACCAGCATCACAAAGTTATAGTTTTACAGAACAGAGAAAGTCATAAATCGAGGCAAGTTTAAAATATACTGGTGGATACACTTGAGAGACAGGTACGTCAAGATAAAGCTTTTCCATAGGTCTAAGATGCTACCTGATGACATACTCAGCTTTTGTACTGGGGGATGCTAGTGGCCTCTTAGTACATTCTGAAAGGTTTTTATCTATTGCCACAGGTATTAGTTTTGATAGAGTGGGCAAGTGTTACTATCCAGTCATTTACTGGTCTTCTCTGAGGGACCTACCAGGAATTGTCAGCACAACAGCCAAGATGTGACACTAGCTGCTACAGCCACTAAGTAGAGCACTCTCCCTATCACATGTGCTATTTCCCTCATAAAAGGCAAGCCCTTCCCGCCCCTCTGTGCTCTCCTTCAGACCTTTGCACCTCCCTCCCAATAAACCTCCCACATGAGCTCTGTCGCATGGTGTGATTTTGTGGTATAGGAAAAAAAGGCCAGCCAAAGAAACCCCCCCACCCAGTCCTGAAACCAGAGCCAGTGAAAGAAATATACTTTAGTCACAAACCCAGAACCAAAGAAATACACCCTGACCCTGAAACCAGTGCTGAAGGAACACTGTAGCCCTAGAATCAGAGCTAATGAAAGAAATATGCCCTGGCCCGGAAATTAGGGCCAAAAAGCTAAAAAGGGCCAGTGAAAGAAACAGATTTTGATCCTATAACGAGAGCCAAATCTGCTGCCCCCTCCCACCACCACCATCACCAACAACTAAGCAAAAATTCAACCAATACCTGTAGAGGAAAAAGTACCAATCCCTGAGCACAATATCTAGGCAACCTGAGCTTAAGGGACTGAAATCTGGCCAATCCCCACCATGAAAATCTTGTCTTGGAAAAACTCCACACCTAAGAAGCTGTATGTGTGTGTGTATGTGTGTGTGTGTGTGTGTGTGTGTGTGTGTGTGTATGCCCTGCACCTGTTCTGTTTGTTGCTGCCTTCTTCCACCCTGGCAGAGGCAAACACTCACCTGGATTCTTTCCTCCTAATAAGTCTCTTGAATGAGATTTAGGTGAAGACCTTCTTTTGCTGGAGCAGCGGGCTGTAACATTTACCCTGGGAAACTTTTCCCTAGCAGAACAAAGTTGTTACACTCCAGGATACTAGAGCAAAACTATAAAAATTTCCCTGGGGACGCCCTCTCTTGCCTGAGCAGAGCTGTTACATTGGGGAAGCCTTTCCCTAGAACAGGGCTGTAAACTGATCCGCTTTCTGTGACCTGTGCTATTCCCTGACCCCTGACTGCCAGACTACTCTTCCACGAAGCTGTAACACTCAGTATTTCCTGACCCCCTGACTGCCAGGATCTCTTTCCCTCTGAGCCGCAAAGCTTACACCTTGGCTCCAACCCACCAAGGTCGCCTACTGTAGCTAAATTATTACAGCAAGGAAGAGCCGCTGTACTGGAAAGCTAGAACTAGCCCAAGATAAATAATTAGCATCTGGCAACATTCCAGTCTTTCCACGCCACTGAAATTCCAATTAGCCACTTAGTCTCTGCGGCCATAGGTTGCATTCAAAAGCTTTCATTCACACCACCTTTGGAACGTTTTCCCCCTTCCCTTATCTATTTACCCTCAATTTTGGCTGGACTATGACTGCCAGCTTGGAGTCTGGCTGCAAAAATCGCTGAGCATAGGGAGTCCAAAAGCTGTTTCTAGTCACTGTTTTGCTTTGAGCATCATCAGCGGGCCAACAGGTTTTTTTAACTCTGGAAAACAACCCAAGCTCCTGGAGCCACGCGGGCCCGCTTGCAATCTCGTGGACTGCCGGCTGGGGGCGCCGGGCGGCTGGGCGGGGCAGGCGGAAATAAAGGGGAGCCTGGCGGGCCTCCGCACTTCCCTTTCCGGTTCCAGAAGAGCCGCGTCGGTGCCGCCTTGGTCCGTCAGGCCTCTGCTCATCTCTCTTGATTCAGCACCGCTGCTGTGCCGCGCCTAGGGCTCGGATCCCGTCGGGTGAGTCTGCTACGGCGCCCACGGGAGATGGGGCTGGCGGGAGACGGCGCCAAGACGCGGGATCCCGGGGGTCTGGCGGCTCTCGAACCTTCGGCGGCCGAACGCTTCGGAGAATCCTCCGGGGACCAGGCGACCGAGGGATCTAATGGAGCGCCGGTCGGGGGACCGCCCACGTCATGCGGGACTTGGGGAGTAGGGCTGGAACGGGCGACCCTCCCCCACGCTCCCGCCGGCGCGACCCGCTGGGGGCTGCTTCGCTCCGGTAGATCCCGGATTCCCTTTGTTCGCTTAGCCCTAAGGGGCATCTTGTCTGGCACCCCTCGCCCCACCACCGGATCCCAGCCACTCCTTTCTAGTCCAAACGCAATGGAGGAGACCCGAATTTGCCTTTACAGGAAGGAAGGTCTGGCGCCTGAAAATTCTGTGTGACAAGGTTCTTGCAGTTCGTAATTACCTATTCGTTAAATGACTGCCCGGGACAGAATGTGCCAAGGGCTGAGTAACGTTCTCCCTTTGTAAGATTTAAGCGCTGATAGAACGCTTCTCTCTGCCTTGAAAACCGAAAGTAATGTTTTCACTAATCCTAATGTTGCCTCAAAGCAGATCCCATCGTAGATGTTCCAGCCTACTACAGGAATACACACGTGTGCTCCCGCTGTGGTAAAGGCCTGTTTTGAAGCCAAACCCTCATTACCGGGGTCGCCATCGAAAGTCTTTGTGTAGTGGCGTTTCCTAAGTGGGAAGAGTAGTTTTCTTAGTCATGATGTGTAGGAGCCACTAGATCAAACTGATTTGCTTCATGAACTTTCACGCAGTTACAGAAGTTGAAATGTTCCTTTTGATTACAGAAGGAATTACGACGTCCGTCTTCATTCTCTTAGAGTCTTGCTTAGGAATTCACAATCTTCAGATTCTGTAATTTGTAGAAGATTATTTCAGAGGAGAGGTGACGCCCCAAGACTCGGGGATTAATATTTTTACACCCTGTACAGTATTAATATTTGCACAGGCTGGGCCTGTAGTTCAGCAATTGAGCGCGGCCCTGGCCTGCTGTGCGACCCTAAATTCAATCCTCAAAGCTTGAGGGAAGGGAAAATCGGGTATTCAGGCCATAGCTGGGGGTGAATGGGAAATGAAGTGGATAGTATTGGGTCAGCTTTTGTCACCCAGTGAGTTTTGTGCCATACTTAGGAGATTGTATCTTCCAAGCTTTCTAGTTTGAAAATAGACAAAGGTGTGTGGTCATGTTGTAGCGGTTGTAAAAGCTAATGTTTATTCCTTTTTTTGCCCTATGCCAGGCAGTGATTATTTACAGATTTATTTAATTAAGCCTCAGCAAATCTCTGGAAAATACCCACTTACCCTCGTGTATGAGACTCAACGAACTGGATTTGACCAGAGGCCCTGCAGGCCTCTACTACGCTACCTTTGTACCATGTGTCTGTATGTGAAAGAGAAGAGGGCGTGGAGAGTTAGAACAAGTTAAAAGCATGCACTGTTTTGGAGAAGTCTTCGGTTCCTAGCGTTCACATGAGGCAGCTCCCAACTGCCTGCAGCTCTGGGAAATTCCCAGTAGCCTCCTTGGGAACCTGCATTAGTGAACAAACCCATAATTTTTTTTTTAATTTAAAAATAGCAAGAAGGAGCATTGGGTTGTTGCTTGTCTGCTGTTTCCCAAGCATTGCTTTAGTTGCTTGGCCAGATGGAGTCCTGTTTAGTTTCCATGTAGCATTATTGGCTCGTTCTAAATACATGAAGACATTGAAGTTGACTCAAATCAGCAGTAAAATGTTTGGATCCTTGTCTGGACACCTCTTCTAAAATCTGTTGTTGCTTTCTTTCTGTGTTCTGACCAGTCTGAACTGCTTCTGCCTTCCCACAGACTGTCCATTCTCCCTCCCAGATTTACACAGACTGTTCTCACCCTGGAGCCTGTCTTTAACCTAATACTCCCTTCCTTTTGTTCCAGACTACAGACACAGCACAACTCAAGAATGTCTGTGTGATTAATTACCCTAAAGTCCAGCAGTGAGCCACACTTGGGTTCCAATAAATATGAATAAATTATAAAAGGAACTACTAGGAATTTTTAAATGCTCAAGAACATTCCCTGCTTTTTTAGTTACTCACTTGTAAACTGAATATAATCTGATAAATTAACCAGTACTAAAAGCTAACATAGATTCTAGTTCAGAATCTGCATTAAATATAGTGTATACTATTGTGTTGAGGGGGTCACACGAGCATGGTTATGGGTGGCACTGTTTTTAATTTTGGTTTTTGCCTGAATGGGAAAATTCTGCTTTTTTGCCCCTTTTATCAATTTTAAGATTTAATCACCCGGCTTATCTTCATTCAAGGAATTGCCCATTTCTTCCTCATGATTAATACTCTCCTTATCTTCCTTAAGTATCTTGATAGCATCTGAATTAGTGACCCAGGTGACCCAGACTTGGACAGGGATTTCCCCTTGTTTGTGTACCTTACTCATTATTCCTGGGCCTCTGGTCAGTACTCCTTCCCCTAAAGCTCCCTCTGGAGACCAGGGACTCCTGCCAGCAACCTAATAGCTAGGGTTCTCATCCTGTGCCCCTCCTTTCTTTAAATGATGCGCAAGCTCCACATCAGGCAGAGCCTGCCCTGGCTTCTGTCCTGTTATCTCACCTCCTGTGAGCATCCTCACTCTAATCCTGTAGCGACTTCAGGCCCCTGTTTTGGGAGGCGCTTGTCACTGCTCTGGAGGCGGTGGAACCTGGGAGGATGGAGCCCATAGCTGAGGTGAACTGCAGCCAAACGTTAGGTAGAGCTGGGTAATCCCGCAGAGAGGGGGAGGAAGGATTGTAGGAACCTGAGGGGTCAGGGGCACCACAAGAACACGGCCCACAGAATAAACTAACCAGGGCTCATAGGGGCTCACAGAGACTGAAGTGACAATCAGGAGCCTGTATGGGTCTGACCTAGGTGTTCTGCATATATGTTTGGTTGTGTAGGAGCAGGGGGCTGTCTATAAGTATTGCCTGCTTTGGGAACCCTTTATGCTCCTACTGGGTTGCTTGTCCAGCCTTGATATGAGGGTGCCTCGTCTTATTGTGACTCTTGTGCCATATTTGGTTGATAGCCCTGTGAGGCCTGCTCTTTTCTGAAGGGAAACAGAGAAGTGGATCTTGGGAGAACTGGGGAGGAGAAGGAAGGGAAACTGGTCGAGATGTAATATATGAGAAAAGAATAAATGTATACTTGAGGTGCACTAAAGTCTCAGTGCAATAGCTCACATTTTTTTCAGGGTCTCAGACATTTTATACTCTGAGAATTAAGAGGATTCATGTGAGTAAAGTGTCCAATCACAGGGACAAGCTGCATGTGACTTCTTGCTTGGATCACGTGTCAATTCAGTATAAACAAAAACTTCCTTAGTATGTTTTTGTTGTTAGTAGTGCTGATAGGTTTTTGTTTTGTGTGTTTTTTGCTCCCAAATCTCAAACTAAAAACAATAATCGTACTTAAACATCAGAAGCATTTTCAGGAGCATTAAAAACAAGACTCATGTACGCCGTCACTATTTAACCTTCTATCATTTGAATCCTAGTTGACGCAAAAGAGAAAGGAGCCGTTAGTATTGGGAAATGCAGTAAAATTGTTGCCTGGAAATTATGGATTCTCCTGGAAGACTAATAAAGTAATCACTAATGTCATAGCTTGCAAAAGTAGTACTCTGCTCAGATATGGGTAACCAGTCAGAGAATATGGTTCAAGGAGACTGTTTATATCTCCAGGAAAAGGAGCTAGAAACCTCTAAAAGAAAGGTCCCCCACGATGGGTGTGGCGGCACATGCAGGTCCTGGCTGCTCAGAGTGCTTGAGCAGGCACCAATTCAGTTCCCGCCTAGAAACAATGCCACCCTGTCTAAAAAGGAAAGTAAATACCAGCATATGCCTATACCTTGCTCTTGGGTGAGATCTAATGTTTTAAACACATCAGCTATCTCCCAATTCATCGATAGACGTTAAGGCATTTCTCACCAGAATACTGGGTGTTGTGTTCTTATTTACCAGTCCCCCCAAAAAAATTTCCTGAAAAAATTACCCATGAAATTCAGGAACATCTGAAGAAACTACAATGGAGCTAGCACAAGTGTCTGCTTGGAATGTAGGGGTGCCCCATGAGGTGTGAGGGCGGCTTGGAATGTAGAGGTGCCCCGTGAGGTGTGAGGGCGGCTTGCGCATCAGAACTGCCCTGCACCTGTGAGCAGATCGCATCTAGTGCCTCGTCAGCTGGAGCCAGGCTACACACATGTGTGTTTGAACCTCTCTCCTTAAACAAGCTGAGCTGTAAACTGGGGTGATAATAAATAACATCTGCACTGCAGAGAGCATCCCTGTTCGCAGTGAGCCTTCAGTAAGCGCTAGTGTCAGTGACAGCCCAGTGTTCTTAAAGGGAACTTGCCCTGTTGAAGACTAGGTTAGTTATCAACCCCTACTTAAAAGAATTGAGAAATGGTAAACTTGTTAAACCAGAGACATACTCAAAGTGGTTGTCTTGTTGGTCATAAAATTGAGATATCACAAGTAGAGATGGCTCTCCGGGTTTGGGCCTAGTTTTGGTGACATGGCTAAACACACCGAGGTCAGGAAAGATGGGACCCCCTGTGCCGCCTCCTTAAAAATGGTGAAGAGAACTGAAATAGCCAGCGCACAAAGTACTCTTGCTCCTTCTGGGGAAGACCAAGATAAAAACAGTGGCCCGCAGGGCCTGGACCACTTCTAAGGCCACAGTGAAGTAAGTCTGCCATCAGAAGGCTGAAGGAACAGGAAGAACCAGGAAGCACTGCTGCCGTTTGAGACTTGCATAGCCTGCTACAGACAGATTGATTTACATGACAGAAGACCATTAATAAATACCATTTAAGAGAGTTAAAGAGACCTTCCCAGAAAGTTTTTGTCTCCTATAACAGCTAGTGTGCTTGTCATCTAACAAAATGGTGTAGGTGATTATTACTAGGTATTAAATAAGGAGGAAAAGAACACCTGTTGTCTTCTAGTCACACAGGGTCAGTGACCAGCAGGTCAAAAAGTGACAGCAGGGATCAGGTGACCAGAAAGGAATGGAAGTGTGTCTTGTTTGTAGTGGCCAAAGATTAAGGCGAGCACACTACCTTTGCACTTTATCCACTGTTGATCATACTTCAACGTGCAAATTGCTAAGGGATGGGGGCACCACATAAACCAGACGTGTCGTGGCAGGAGGATCAGAAGTTCAAGGCCAGCCTGATACACACAAAATCCTGTTTCAAGGAAAAATAAAAAATAACAAAGGGTTGGTTGGGGCACTTTCCCCTGGATTCGGTGTCTAACCCTGTGGCTGACCAGTAGAGTAGGTGGCCCGCCCAGTGCTGGCAGGTCATTCGCAGGAGGTGGACAGCACTGGACCTGGAGTTTATAAAGCTGGTTATTCTATCATGGTTTAAAGTATGTTTGACTCTATTCCACTTCTGATGGTTTTTCTTGATTATACACAGACTTGAAGAAAGATGAGTATATGTTTATAGTGCCAGTGCTTAAAAGAACCTATGCTGCCACAAAAGCCAGCATTATACAGACTGAGCAGGTTATAGTTAGGAATATATATGTATGTAAAATAGATATACACAGCAATAATTGACTTTAAAAAGAGACCATGAAAAGAGCAAGAAAGTGTTTAAGAGAGGCTTTGGAGGAAAGAAGGGAAAGGGGGAATTGATCTAATTATAGTCTCAAATAAAGGAAAACCTTAAAAAGCTGAGCAAGCCAATAAACATTTGTCCGTGACCTCTGCTTCAGTTCATAACCCTTGGTTCCTGCCTGATTTCCCTCAGTGATGGATTGTGACCTGGAGTTGTAAAGTAAGGTACACCCCACCCTGCTGCCCCCCAAGTCAGAATGTAAAGTAAGTAAAGCTGAGCTGGAAAGAATACACTTGCCCATGTGTGAGGTTGAAGGAGTTTCTACCAGGGATCTCTTGGCCATGAAGGATCACTTGAACCCAGAAGTTTGAGAACTCACTGGTAATATGCAGTCCTAACAAGAAGGAAGTTGATATGGTTATCTCGGCTTTACTAGAAAATTTTTCCTATGTAAAAGAAAACATAAATAAGAAAGGTTCCATGTAAGTAAAATATATGTATACACAAATTCCTTTTAAAATGTATAAAAATAACTGGGCAGTGATGGCACACGTCTTTAATCCCAGCACTTAAGAGTCAGAGGCAGATGGATCTTTGTGAGTTTGAGGCCAGCCTGGTCTACAAGAGCTAGTTCCAGGACAGCCAGGGCTGTTACACAGAGAAATCCTGTCTTTAAAAACTTTAAGTAAGTGTGTGTGTGTGTGTGTGTGTGTGTATGTATAAAAATACTAATTTTGACATTTTCTTTTTTTAGGAAAAATGTCAGATGAATTTTCGGTAAGTTGAACCTTGCTAACTTTTATTTTATTTTATTGTTTTTTGTTTTAAGGAAAGCCCTTCCAGAGAGAGTGGTGCATACTTGTAATCTCAGCCCTAGAGAGGTTGAGGCAGGAAGCTTCTGAGTTCCAAGCAAGCCTGAGCTATACAGTTGAGACCCTATCTCCTTATAAATAGTGAAAAAGTTAAAAAATAAATTAAACCTACAGGGTCCTAACTAAGACATCTGAGTCTTTTTAACTTAAAAAGATACATGCTGAACTTCTTAGGCATATATTTTGTTTCGGTTTTTATGTTTTCACATTTACTTTTATTTATGTTTATGTATAAGTGCATGTCATGGGAACTCCAGTTCTAGGGTCCAACACCCTTTGGCCCCTGCCAGCCCCAGGCATGCACGTTATGTGTATAAACTCATGAAGGCAAATTTACTCTGATAATGCTGTGATAAGAGCATGACCAAAAGCATCTTGCCTGGAGAAGCCTGTTCTCATCTGACTGCTTATAGTGCATTGTGAAGGAACTCAAGGGCAGGAAATCAAGGCAGGAACTGGAACGTGAGCCATGGAGGAACACTGGCTCGCCCTTTTGAGTCACATTCAACTTCCTTTGTTATGTTTCCCAGGGATGGTACCTCCCGTGGTGGGCATTAATCAAGAAGATGCCTCATAGGTTTGCCTACAGGCCCATCTGATAGGAGCATTTCCTCAGCTGACTCCAGCTGTGCCGAGTTGAGAACCCACGCAGCATGCACACACACACATACATAAAATTCAGTTGTTAAGTTCCAGGTCCGCCCGGGCTACATGAAACCTTGTCTCAAAAATAATGTATTTTATTTTGACTGTATTTACAGCATTATGTAAATTGCCTCATTTAATACTGAACTTAACACTAAAACTCTTTTTGAAACTAAGAAAGTAAAGGTCAAGAGTTGAGTGTAGGGATCCGATCCTGTCCTATTCCCACTGCTCAGAAGTAAAACACAGCTGCTGCATTTAGAAAAGTTGTTCTTTGGAGAATTTGCGCTGTGAAGTTAAATGTTCAAGATTCCTCAAATGCTTTTTTAAGAAAAGCCTCTCTGGTGAGTAGTTTAGTCTTTGAAGGTGCTACTGTGTACAGTTTGCGTGGGGTTTTCGTTGTGTTTGTTTTGACTTGCCCTTGGATAGGACAGATATGACATACCTGTTTTGTATTGCAGTTGGCAGATGCGCTGCCTGAACCATCCTCTGCCAAAACGTCTGCTGTGAGCAATGCAAAAGCCGGCCAATCTCAAGTCTGGCCAGGCTCCAACCCTTGGAGTAACCCAAGTGCTCCACCTGCTGTGCCGTCTGGACTCCCGCCAGGTGGTGCAGCGCCCTCTCCTGTGCCTTTCGGACCAGCACCAACAGGAATGTATCCATCTATGCCTCCAACTGGACCACCTGCCGGACCCCCAGCACCCTTTCCTCCTTCTGGACCATCATGCCCCCCACCTAGTGGTCCTTATCCAGCCCCTGCTGTGCCAGGCCCTGGCCCAACAGGGCCATATGCTACGCCAAATATGCCCCTTCCAGAGCTACCTAGGCCATATGGTGCCCCCACAGATCCAGCTGGTACTTTAGGTCCATGGGGATCTATGTCTTCTGGACCTTGGGCACCAGGAATTGGGGGGCAGCACCCTAATATGCCGTATCGACCTCCAGGGCCATACCCCACTGCTCCACCTCCAATGTCAGGAGCACCGCCTGTTCCATGGGGCACTGTGCCACCAGGAGCCTGGGGACCACCAGCACCATATCCTGGCCCTGCAGGATCATATGCTACACCAGGACCCCATCCTACTCCAAATAATCCTTACCAAGTGCCTTCTGGACCCGCTGGTGCTCCACCAATGCCTGGTGGCCCCCACGTAAGTGTTCAGCTTGTTATTGACAATAGTCAGAGTCACATTGATACACTGGAGAATTGGAGAACTTCTAAACTTAAATAGTCATGAATCTATAAGTTGAGTGAACTTGAGGTTCAGGTGCAGCATTTTAAAGAACAGTAGTATTCCTGCCATTAAAAATAGAAAGGGAAGGTCTCAAAGATCCCTAAAGACTGTTAGGGTGAGTAGAGTGCACTCGGCACCCTCAGATGACTAAGATGTAGATCCTGGGCTGTGTCTGGGGAGTGGGGGCTGATTTATAATTCTTGGAGTCCTTCTGCGTCCACTGAACTGCAGCGTGAGGAGAGGCTTGTGTAGGTTGGTGCAGGGAACGTGGGCAATGAGCATAGACATTGCCCGTCTCACATGGTTCTCCCTGGGTTTTTGTTGGTTTTGGCCTTTTTGGTGTGTGTGTGTGTGTGTGTTATGAGGCAGGGTTTGTGTAGCCCTGGCCATCCTGGAATTCACTCTGTAGACCAGGCAGGCCTTAGAGTCACAGCTCCTCCTGCCTCTGCCTGCTGAGGGCTGGGATTAAAGGAGTGCACAACCTCTGCCCACCCCCCCCACCCCCCAGTAATGTTGAGCCGGGCACTATGCCGCTATTCTTGCAAAGCCACCTGTTAACTCTAGATAACTAAACTAAGCACATCTCTCTGTAGAGTAGTTAAATCGCTGTCTTAACTGTGACGAGAAACATTCTTATTCAGATGTCCTCCCAAATCTCATTAGTGTAATTTCTTGCTATATACGCCTGCAACTTTTTTTTTCTTGCAAAGTATGGCACAACAAATAACATGACTTGGTATTTGGATTTATTACACAGTAAGTTTATTTTAAGCCACCACAAAGAGTTAATAACTATATATATTAATTATCTGTGTCGGGCACAGAGGTCCTTGTGCTCTTAGATAAACACCGGGGGAACCAGGAATGTTCAGTGCACAGGGCTGTCTCTTCTGAGGAGGAGATGTAGAACCTGTTTCCTGCCCAGAAGACTGGGAACAGATGTGGTTAATAGCCTGGTGACCTTTGCACTGTGTGGCCAAGACCACACTGGACCCTCCCCCAGACCCTTACCGTGAACTTGTCAATCTATAGGATCCGTCTTTATGTAAGATGTCATAAGTACTTTCCAGAGTGTTTCTCTGTGCCTTAAGTCTCATTTTGCACATGGGATTGAGTTATTTTTTTTTACCAGGAAAGTTTTCACCAAATTATGCTATACTTAAATATGCCTAAAATAAACTACTGAGGGCTGGCTTCCTCAGTGTGAACTAGCTTCTGAGTCCTGCTGGGTTGAGCTGCTCACCTCCTTCAGATTGTCACTTGTTGCCACTGCATGCAGACAGACCTCATGTAGGGGACAAGTCACACATGCAGGCAAGGCACATGTGGTGGGCACATCTGCTCGTGGTGGGCAGCCAGCCACATGTGGTAAGTGAGCTGTGCACGGCAAAAGCATGTTTTTCCATAGAGGCATATCCAGAGTGCTTTTGTTTTGAGATGTCATAGATAAATCTAATTGTCATTTGATGCATGAGTATTCTATAAACAAACAAACTGCAAATATAATCATATTCAGCAGTGAAAAAACATTGCCTGTAATACTCTACCACCAAGAACAGGCATCCAAACCATGGCCAGTACTATTGGTTATGTTGTGTTGATCAGAAAAATCTAGAAAATAGCTTGAAAAGAGACTCATATAATTAGTAGTTCTGTTATTTTGTAGAACTTCAATGGGAACACAAATGTTACAATGTCCTATGCAAATAGAAAGTAATTTAAATCCCTAGGGAAAATTAAATGCAGTTCTTCTTCAGATGAATGAATGAGTCTGTTTCTGTCCTATGGACCAGGCGCAAATTCAGAGTCATTAACAAAGATAACAGTAGCTGGATCTGTCCAGTCTACAAGTTGGGGGAAAGGAGAATGAGAAACATAACCAATACACAGAGGCTCTCATCATAGATGATGCCCAGGTCAAAGCAGCTAGCATCACCAGGAAGGAATTCCAGGAAGGAATTCCCAGGCAACATGGAGCTCTGTGTGTTTTGTAGAATAACCTCTCCCATGGCCCAGGTGGGCACACTTGACTTCTGATGTATTGGTGTTTAGCTGGAGGACCTCTGCCCTCATCTTTGATGCCCCAAGGCTGGATTCATAAGATTTCATTTGGGTCCATCTGCAATGACAGACACCCATTCCTGATGGTTTTCAGCCAGCCAGGCTTCCAAGTCTCAAATTGTTTAAGCCATACAGGCCCATCTAAAGGCAGTTTAGAGTGTTCTGTAGAGAAGTGTTTTGAGCTCTTCTAAACATACCACCTGGGGTAAAATTTTTAAAATTGGACGTAAATAAGCAGAGCTGTGGTGGCGCACGCCTTTAATCCCAGCACTTGGAAGGCAGAGGCAGGCGGATCTCTGTGAGTTTGAGGCCAGCCTGGTCTACAGAGCGAGTTCCAGTACAGGCTCCAAAGCTACAGAGAAACCCTGTCTTGAAAAACAAACAAACAAACAATTAGAAGTAAATAAGGAAAGCACAAGAATATGGTGCTCCTCTTGTCTTCTTTTTTAATAATTGTTTTAATGTTCTATGTTTTTCATTTATGCCTTGACCTTGAGATTTAAAAAAAATGCCTATAATATGATTAATATTCATTCTTTATGGTTAATTTGGTTTACTACTGTAGACTGATTCATTGTCAATTTCGTGAGCACTGCTGTAACAGCAAAATTTGTATCAGAGAAGAGCATCCTGCAGTAGCTTCTCTGAAGCTTAGGTACAGCCAGAGAAATGTAGAATGTCTGTCAATGCAAGTGTGCAGATGCCACATTGGAGGCACAAGAGCAAAGTGAGGGACATCCATTGCCATAATTCACTTTTCACCTCTGGGATTCACTCCAAGTGTATGACCATGGCAGTGTACGGGGGCACACATCTGTCACACGGGCCTGCATGGGCCGTACCACTGCACATGAAGTCTGCTAGCATTAGTGAGTGCATAGTAAGTGCTGATGGACCTGTTCTGGAGAGGCAGTGCAGACTGCCCTTACAACAAAGCAGTACTCAGAATCAAGGTGCTCCTGGCTTATGCCCTAAACACAATAAAGGAAAACATTGGGCTAAGGAATGCTGACCTAAATTTGATAAGGACAGAAATACACTGTCTAGTAACAATGACAATACCAGTCAACAACAGGGAAACAGATTAAGGGCACCCTTCAGGCAAAATTAGAGGATTAAAATTGCAAGCCAATAACACTTGTGCCAGCTTCACATGGTAATCAGTCTGTCCTTTCAGTACAAGCTGCTACTTATAAAAGCTGCTATGATTTTCTTTGCCCTAAAGAGTTTGCCATTTTTCTTCTTCCGTGTCCCTTATGGGCTATTGGGTACCTGTGTAGCAGTAGTTTCTTCATGAAAGGAATCAGTTCATACAGGAGTCATTGATGAAGACTGGATGAGCAGGGAAATCGCAGCCATGGTCATAGTGCCCAGTGACTGGCAATTTAAAAGCAGAAGAAAATTGCATAATGACTACATCGCAGGAAAATGTGCTTTGCAGGGAAGGATCTGGTAGTGCCAGGAAAACTGAAGTTTAAGTGCTTTCTGGCAGAAAAAAGGATTCTGTGCGTCCATTCTCCAAGTATTCTCTGACTGGTGAGGAGTCTGTACTTTTCTTTAGAAAGGCCATTGAAGTGTCCAGGCAGACTCACTGAACTGCCGTGTTGTGTTTTCCGTGACCCCTGTGATCCGGTAGGTTCAGGAATCCCTGCCACTCTGCTCGCCTGTTTCCTGCATCAGCCGTTGTTCCTGTGAAGAGCCTTAGAGTACGGATCTCATTAGCTTGCAAACCGCCTCTTCCCCAAAGAGTAGTGGGAACAGCAGTTATGCCTTCTGTACTTAAACATTTTAATTTTGTGCCACTTTGTTTACTCTTGCTAGAGATCATAGTTTTCAGTCCTATGAGGTTGACTTTACCTCCATAGGCCATTTGGAGGGCCATTTCTCTACGATTATCGTAGAGAGGCCAATCAGCACCAGAATCAGCTGATCCTGTAAAAGTTTTTTCTTTTATTTTAAGTCCAGTACTTGGTTTATCATTGTTTCTTTAAGTAGTCAGGTCAGCTATAGTTGAAACACTTGGCTGAGATCTCTTTGAAGGACATGGGTTTCAAAAACAGCTAATTTGCTTTGTGTGTAAGTCCCCACATTTCTCTGAATCTGAGAAAGTTCATGATATTTCCTATTTCTCTCTGAGGTCTAATTATTCCTTAGTGATCTTCACGGGTATTATCAAAAGCCAGCCATTTAATAATAACTCTTGAACCTGTCTCCCTTTTAATTGTTTCTCAATGGCATCTTTGAGTCTCTATATGAAATCAGCAATAAGGCTCAAGGGATCTTATGTGATTTTATACACACACACACACACACACACACACACGCACGCACGCACGCACAGTCAGATCCCCTCAGTTTTCATCCAAGCAGCCATAGCTTCTCTACTGTGGGAGAGCAGCTGATGATCTGTTGGTCCTCATGCACCAGCCCCTATCAGCATTTCATATGAGATGTTTCCCAGATCGCCCCTCAGTCCTGGTTGCTAAACTTCTTCATGGGCTTCATCTGTAAGCCACGTTTGTCACTGAAGAAATTGGGAAGTTTTAGAAGCATTTTAGCAATTGTGTGAAAATCATACAGCAACCTTGTACATTAATTCTCTAACCAAAAAATTATTCATAGCAATATGGAACAGTGGGTTCTTAGGCAGTCCAAGCCTCTTTAAAATCTTTATATCCATGTTTAATCCCTGATAACCATTTTTTTAAAGATTTATTTATTTATTAAGTATACAGTGTTCTGTCTGTATGATTTCTGGCCAGAAGAGGGCACTAAATCTCATTACAGATGGTTGTTAGCCACCATGCCGTTGCTGGGAATTGAACTCAGGGCCTCTGGAAGAGCAGTCAGTGCTCTTAACCTCTGAGCCATCTCTCCAGCCCCACCTGATAACCGTTTTGATTCCTCTGAGACTGCACTGGAAATATCAACTCTCCTCATGAGGCTAGGGAAGAATTGAAAATGAATTGTTTCCCTGCTCTGACCTATCAGGAAATGGATTAAGATTACAGTGATTATCCCATTTCTCACCCTGTGCTTCAGGTAACATATCGAAATGAGGCTCCTATGAGGGGGCTGCGGGGGTCACACCAGCATGGTTATGGGTGGCACTGTTTTTAATTTTGATTTTGCCTGAATGGGGGAAATCTGCTTTATTGCCCCTTTTATTAGTTTTAAGGTTTAATCACTTGGCTTATCTTCATTCAAGGAATTGCCCATCTCTTCCTCACGATTAATACTCTCCTTATCTTCCTTAAGTATCTTGATAGCATCTGAATTAGTGACCCAGGTGACCCAGACTTGGACAGGGATTTCCCCTTGTTTGTGTACCTTACTCATTATTCCTGGGCCTCTGGTCAGTACCCTAAAGCTCCCTCTGGAGACCAGGGACTCCTGCCAGCAACCTAATAGCTAGGGTTCTCATCCTGTGCCCCTCCTTTCTTTAAATGATGCGCAAGCTCCACATCAGGCAGAGCCTGCCCTGGCTTCTGTCCTGTTATCTCACCTCCTGTGAGCATCCTCACTCTAATCCTGTAGCGACTTCAGGCGCCTGTTTTGGGAGGTGCTTGTCACTGCTCTAGAGGCGGTGGGACCTGGGAGGATGGAGCCCATATATGTGTGGACCAAAGTCTCATGCAATAACTACTTTATTTAGAGCCTCACGGACATCTTATACTCTTGTAGGCCAAGAGACTTCACATGAATAAAGTGTCCAGGCACAGGTGCAAACCACGCACGACAGGGCTTGCTGAACACAGCAAAAACATGTTTTTCCTTGGAAGCATATAAACAGCAATAGCCAATTGTGATGAATGATTGGAAGTAAGCTCACTCCTGTCCGATGCCCTTGAGACACAAAGACAATCCAAGAACAAGTCTATGTTATGAAGAAATTGAGATCACAAAACTCTTGTCTTGGTTACTTGGACTGTTCCAGCAGTTTTGTTCAGCTGGTTGTTATTTTCACAGAGACGCGCCCACAATTCTAGAAGTTGATTTTTTTTCCCTTTTCTGTTGCAGTACCATTAAGTTGACAGTGGATGAAGAGATGGCACGTTGCTCTTTGAAGTACATGTACATGCACATGAAGGCGTATTACAAATGGCTGCTTCCCTGTTGGTAAAGGGCGTTCATGAAAGAACTTTTGTACCTCAGAGAGTTCCTGCTTCGTATGTTTGGATATGTAGAACGTTATGTGGGTACAATCAGATAAAAATGTAAAAGCAAATCATTTAAGTGTGGTTAATGTGGTTATGTATATTGAATAACTTTTGATAATGTTTGTGTAAAGTATAACTATACCCTCAGAATTTAAAATGACGTGGATTATTGTTAAAATCTGTAACTTAATTGGCAAAGTAATTCAAGTATTTTTTATAATCACCCCCACCTCACACCTATATAACTGAAAACAATCGCTTAATTAAAACATGACTCAACATTTTGAGGTCCTCTAGCTACACAAACCAGAGCCTCTTGTTAATATTTTAGCTACATAAATGTATTGTGTATGTGTTTACTGAGTTTAAGCCAACATTATACTCAGCTCTGCCAAAATAAGATAATGTTCCTATCACAAAAGCATGATCGAAGGACAGGTTTGCTCTGACAGCTCTAGGAAAATGTTGGCGCCAAATGTACGTAGACAAGTTAGGGCTTACTAGAGAGTCAGACTGCCGTGTTTTGAACCCAGCCTCAGAACGAGACAGCAGGGAGATGAGGCAGGGAGCTGCTGGGCAGTCACTGCAGGGCCTCATAATCCAGCCGCTGTCCAAGCCAGCAGGTGGAGCTGGGAGCTTTCCTCTCACTAGCGAACACCGGGGACGGACACAGAGATGGCAGATTCCTCTTAACACTGTGGAACCCATGAATCCTTTTTCCTTAGGAAGCATTTACAAAAGGTGGTTCATTTCTAATGTGTTATTTCCTTATCAGTTCTGGTTACTGGTGGGACTAAATAAAGATCATTTATGGCTTTTTTTTTTTTGGAAAGTGCTCTAAATTTTAAATGACATTCTTGCAGTGACTGAACCACAACTGGTTTGAGTCGCTGCAAAATTCCATGCATGTAATACATGTTTCTTGGCCTCAATATACCAGACAACTGAAGGGGAAAACTCCTGGGTTGACAGAGCCCATGGTCAGACCTCTCAATAGACCAGGTGTAGGAAGCTGAGCTTGGCCAGTGGCTCGGGCAGACATGTAACCATCTAGCTCAGTGTGCATGACTGCACACCTGTTCCTTTCCAAAGGACACATCTCGTACCGGTACATCCTGCGAGTCTGCAAGGCAGTCTGCTCTGCAGCTCTCCCAGTGTGAGCAGTCAGTCCCATGTGTATTACAGACCCTCATCCACCCCAATTTACAGAGTTAACGGAGGTGGTGGAACATTCGGGAGGCAGAGGCAAGCGGATCTCTGTGAGTTCAAAGCCAGCCTGGTCTACAAAGGAAGTTTCGGGACAGCCACAGCTACACAGGGAAATCCTGTCCTGGGGGGAAAGAAGAGAGATGCTGTATTTGCCTCCTGGTTGGTTCAAAACCTTGTAATGGGGAGGTCGCGGCCCCAGCCTGAGCTCCTGATTGGCAGATGTCGTTGCAGGCTTCCGCATCTCAGTGTGGAGCTTCCCTTCTTGTCTGCTCTGCTGCTCCAGGTGTGAAGTTTGTCCACTTTTGGGTCAGATTTTAGAGTCTTTGGCTTCACACAGCAAAGCATGGCATTGAGCTTATGCTGGGTGTGCCAGGGGTGCCTTGGCAGTGACTGGTGACCTAAAATGTCCCTAGTCTTGCCAGGTGGGTTCAAACATTGATTCACCAAAGATACTTCCTGCATTAAAGCCTTATAACCGTTAAGTGCATTTGGTGCCAACATTTTTCTAGAGTTCTGGCTGAGCAGGAAGCCTGTCCTTGGAATGTAACGCAATTTTGAAAGGAACGTTTTGTTATTTTAGCAAAACTGGGTATAATTGGATTAAGCTTATCCACAAAATGATTGCTGATTCTTCTCCCGGGGGCTTCTTGGGTCTGGAGCCTGCCCTGCCTACCTATGGAATTTTAAGCCAATAATTATCAGCTGCCAAGTTCATCAGCTGGTGTGTTGTTGTGTTGATGATGGTGATGTTTTGGGGAGTGTCGTTAGGAGAATCTAATGGCCCATCCCACATGGTGTGTTTTGGGTGGCACTTCCATTTTAACCGCTGCTTTATGGACTTTCCGACTGATAATGGCGACTTAGTGAATTTATTATTATCTAATTTAAGAGCAGTCTTCAAAGGGATAGCAGAATTTTCTGTTATTTTTATTTTTTTCTGAACATTTCTGCTGTTGCCCTCAGGATAGAGTATTTCTGGGTTCTAGATGGATTCAGGAAAAGCAAATTTAAATAAAAAGCAAAAGGTAGCCAAATGAGGAAAAGAATCTGGAAAAGGTTTTCTATTTTTGTTTTAACCCAAGAAAAGAATAATATTGTTTTCAGGACAGTCCATGCTGGGCCAGGACTGGTCTACTAAAAAGACAGTTTGTCAATAAGTGGTTGGTCCAAATAACAGAATTTGTTCACATGTGTTGACAATGTTTAAATAAATATGGCAAAAACAGCTGAGGTGTGTGCAAGAGTAGTGTTTCTGACGCTGAGGTCTTAGGTGTGCCATGTGCACTTCTTTATCTGTTCATCTTACTCTCAGTAGAGGGTGAGAGGGCAGGCAGCAGAATGTTCTAGAAAGCCTAACTGGAGGAGCTGTGGAGAGCAGCAGGTGCCCTAGGGAAGACAGTCTTAGAGGAGCAAATGTCACCCTTCATCTTCAGAATTCTGCCCTGTCAAACAAGACGGCTAATAGTGACAGGGACTGAGATTGTGTGCGCACCTGTAGCTGCAGAGCTGCCTGAGGACTGAGTCTGTCCCCTGTGCACATCTGGGATGGGCTCTGTGCTGGAGAGTTGGCCACACCCATACCAAGCCCCTGATAAGACGTAATTAAGAGTAGCTGGCAAGATGACAGATTTGGGGCATTGAATTTTTTCTTTTTTCTTTTCTGTTAGGGTCTCACTTTATAACTTTGGCTTGCCTGGAGCTCTTCCCCCACCCCCTCACCCTGCATCCTCTTACCCCCTTTTTCTCCCCCACCCCCAACCCCAAGACAGCATTTCGCTGTTCTGGCACTTGCTCTGTAGACCAGGCTGGCCTCTAACTCCCACAGATCTACCTGCCTCTGCCTCCTAAGTGCTGGGATTAAGGTGTGCGCCACTACCGCCCAGCTTCAGCTTGGAACTCTTTAATGTAAATGAGGAACTCACAAAAGTCTTTCTGTCTCTGCCTACCAAATGCTGAAGTTAATCTGTGTGTGTGTGTGTGTGTGTGTGTACATAGATATTCATATTTTCTTTCAGGAGCTGGGTGGTGGTGGTACATACCTTTAATCCCAGCATTTACAAAGCTGAGGCATTGGAATCTCTGATTTCCAGGACAGCCAGGGTTATACAGGGAAACCCTGTCTCAAAAACAACAATAAAAGCAAAAAATATCTTTCGAGATTGTAGTGCTGATCAGTGCAACTATTCAAGTGTGGAAGTAGCAGGATGCTTTTCCTCTGCTTTTCTGGATAAATGTGCTTACACAGCCTGTCCCTCATTGGCAGACATTGGCTTGCTGCCATTACGTAAATTTGACTGGTATGTGCTCCATAAAGGTTTTTTTGTGATACTTTTTTTGAGATTGTGATTTTCCATTTACTGAATAATGGTAAATTTGGTGTGTTTTACAGCCTTAGGCATTTAGCTTCAGCTGCCTGTCCTGTGGCTTGAGACATAGACATTTGTACTGTGAACTTTGTAAGCAGCTGAGGTTTTAACACCTGCTCCTGTATTTGCAAACAAAGACAAATGTTGCTTGAAGTAGTAATTATATTTAGAGGTAGGCTATGGATGTGATACTTGATATTTTTAAGGTAAAGTTGTTTTTGTGTGTAATACCTGAAAGCCTTTTTAAGAAATTTACTTTTGCCGAGCAGTGGTGGTGGCGCACGCCTTTAATCGTAGCACTCTGGAGGCAGAGGCAGGCGGATCTCTGAGTTTGAGGTCAGCCTGGTCTACACAGTGAGTTCTAGGACAGCTGGAGATACACAGAGGAAACTCTTGTCTGAAGGAAGGAAGGAAGGAAGGAAGGAAGGAAGGAAGGAAGGAAGGAAGGAA